GGGAACAGGGAGTTGGGCACCAACCTTGAACACTGAGCTTAAAAAGGAGTTTTGAACTCTCTGTTTTTAAGTACAGAGCTCGATGCTGGCTGTGTAGAGGGAGCCAGGTGTGCCCATCACAAAGGGCTCTTCTCAGCAAGCAGACACCTTCCTGGCTGTGTGGGGGCAGCAGACACAGTCTGGAGAGACGTGGATGTTTTCCCCCTTGGAACAACGTGGTTTTTAGAAAAGGCAAAACCAGAGTGCCTGAGGGAGCAGAGGAAAGCAGCACATCTCAAAAGGGAAGGAACATGGCTACAGGACAATAACAATTTTTCCCACTCAGTGAGACCCATCAACATCCCATGTCAAGGACCAGGAATTGAAATGTACTGGGCAGATGAGGGGCATGTATCCAGTAGGTGCTTTCACTCCCAGCCTGCCTCCTGCTCCCTCTTCCATCAGCAGGGGCTCTGACTGCAAGGGGGGAGCGTTTAGACATTTCTGTAGCTCACCTCTGAAATTTGACCTGCAAGTCCAATGCAAAGCCCTGATGGTCAGCAGAGCAGCTCCGGTACCCACAATCACCTCCTCTCTGCCCTTTCCATCAGGTGTGTGCTCCAATGCAGTTGGCTACTAAATCCTGGGGAAAAAACATCTCCCTCCAATTACTTTTTTTCTAGTATCACCTCTTTGCTGAGCTTCCTAGTACTGAGTCTTCTTTGGAAATTTGCACATGGGAGTCGTAAAGATAGGACTGAAAGTGAGCGTGATCAGACTGGCTGGCACGGCACACCTGCAGCCACAGCCTGACCTGCGGCACACAGCACTTACCATACTCTGAGGGCTGAAGGTCTGATATGGTGTTCTCCCTCAAATGGTTTTTTCTTGGGCTGAGGTGAGCAGCAGAGTTCAGCTCTGGCTCTGAACTCCCCCAAGTTATGTGGATTTTATGCTCTTCTCCACCCTTCCTTCCTCACTTTGCCAGCTAAATTCAGACAAGGTGCCTGTTTGCATAAGAGCTGTCAAAAGAATAACTTACAAGTATAGCAGCTAGAAAAGTCCTGAAGTGTAAAGCTGGCAGTCCCCAAAGACCTGCAGGGACTATCCAATCCATCTGGTGCTCCAGGGTGCAGAGCAAACAGGCTTTTGACTAGTTCATAACCGCAGCATATGCAAAAGGCTCAATTATTGCTTCTTAAAAAGCCCAAATTATCTCCTGGAGTTGGAAACTGACAGCCACACAGTCTCCACAGCGTTATGCATGACTGAATTTTTGCTGGCTTATTCTCTGCTGTTCTGTACTGCCTGTAATTGCATTGCATTTTAACTGTTTAGCATCGTCAGAACTTCAGCCCCAGGGGCAGCGGAGGTGGTGAGAGCTCAATACATCAAATTACTACCCAAAGAGCAAGCAGACAAAAAGCAGAGCAGGGAGGGAGGGAAACAGACAAATGAGCCACATTCATTAGAAAAACAGCAGCCCTGACCAGGGAAGCGTCCTACTGATGTAATGAGAAAGGTGAAAGTTGTTAATAATAATAAAGAACACAGTAACACAGTTGCTTTTCTATCAGAAAGAACCAAATCTGGAGAAAATAAATGCTCTGTGGAAAGCAGAGGTGAAAACTGATGAAATACTCCTTGCCCACATAGCCCTTTCTTTCCTTCCAGTTTTATTTAGTGTATTTTTTTTTATGGTAGTGAGTTCTGTAGCTGCTCTGTTTAGTGCTGCTCCCTTGAGTGCTGTGTTGTGGCCCCAGAAGCTGGCATTGCTGCTACAGAAGCCCTGCCATGTGAGGCAGTGAAGCACTTTCCCACAGGAGGTTTATGTTTCACCCTTGGCCAGCCAGAGGTCCTGAGTGCTGCTCCTCTCTGGAATTTTGCCACCTGTGAGGGTCCTGAAATGTAACAGAGCTCTCGGTGGGTTTGCCCTGCTGAGGCACCTCAGTAGCTTTGACCTCAAATAACTGACTAAGCTCTGTGCAGCTTAACACCCTGAAACTACAGGACACTGTTCCAAGGAACAGGCCCAGCACGATACAGCCACAGAATGAAAGGTTACCTGTGGATGCCTGAAGAACAGCATTAGAGCTGCCCACCATGGCACGGGGTCCCCAGGACACAGCAGGACCTGCTGGGTGTCCCTTGTAGGCCACCAGCAGGCTGCTCATGGGTCTTTGTCCTGCCTACCTGCAAAGCCATGGGAGGAGAAGATCACAGAATAATTTGTGTTGTAAGTGACCTCTAAGGTCTAGTCCAACCCTCAAGATCAAGGCAAAGAGAGAGGAACATCAACAGGTACAGCCAGTGATGCCAGCAATAGAGATGGTTGTGGCAGCAGAGAGGTGTCTGTCCCTGTCCCAGTGCAGCCTGACAGGGAAGTGTCTCTGCTGTGGCTGTCCACCCAGGGAATGTGCAAAGTGGATGCGAGGGAGCTGAGAAGATCCTCCAGCTGTCTATGCTGAAAATCTTGAGGGTATTGACATTTCATGTCAGCTGCATTCACCAGGGTTAATTAAAGTCTGTGTTTTATAGATTGCCCTTGGCCATAAGCAGAAAAGCTGCCTCAATTGGAAATCAATAGAGTAATCTTTAAGCTCTTTTATTTTATTAGATATAGGGTTCTAATTTGAAGAAATTGAGAAGTCATAATTAATGGTGCCAGAAAGGTCCTGAGATATATGTTTAAAGCTTCCTGAGGAGAGTGCTTTGCTGTAGGCAGTGTGCTGGAGCACACCACTGAGGCTGGGGAACGCTCTGGTGAGTGAGCTCCCAGGAGCACTGCAGAAATCAATAGCCAGCACTCTGCCCAAAAATTGAAGGGAAGGCTGTGATGGCAGTGCTGCCACCACAGGGCAAAGCAGAAAAGCCAAATCCTGGGCTGCTGACAACCAAGGAGTCCCACAGATGCTGCCGATGGCCTCCCTGTCCCAAGCCAGAGACTTGATGTGCTTTATGCCTTTCTCTAAGTCTACTGTGCACTGGTATGCAGTGAAATGATTTGCCCCTCTTCAGCAGGGATGGAGTCATTCCAAAACCACAGCCTCTGGGGGTTTTGGAAGGTGAAGTATCCTGACAGTGCTACCGCTCTCCCTTGCAACAGCCTTGCCAGCAGGCCATACAACTTTCCCACAACAAACAGACCAAGGAACATTTTTCATTTAAACTGCTTTCTAAGCAGTGCCTCTAAAACAATTCTGTCCACAGACAATGGAGTGTCAAGGGCCAGAATGATTCCTGTGATCCAATAAGCAAAATAAACCCCAAAAGACTGGCCCATTCATGAGCAGCCACCATGAGGCCCTCAGCCAAACGTGTGACAAGGCTAATAAGCTGCTTGTGCTTGAAAAGCCCTTAATGCCTTCCTTGTCAACATTTACCTTTTAGAAATAATTATTTTCAACTTTTCTACATTGTTTTTCTCATTTCTAGACCTTTTCCCCGTAAACAGTGATGAAAGTATTTTTCTTTCTGTGAGTCAAATAACTTACTTGATAAAGCATCTTAGAGTAGAAACCCAATTGTCAGTAGACTGGGCACACCTTTTTTTGTCCTTCATTGGCTATTTTTCTTCAGTGTCCACTTGTCTTGTTTGGGACTGCGTCTAAAATCCCTTGCATGCTGCAATTGGTCACTCCCAAAATATTGCAAATCTTTGTACTGAGCCAGATTAGACTCTGGGAAGAGCTCAGGGAAATTTTCTGTGCTTGAAGGCAGTGACTTGCCTTCTCAAGTTAAGCCTGAGATAAGCAGTGCTGAAAACACTTTCTCCTGGCAAAATTGAGCCCTGCACACTTTGCTGGCAGTGATTAATGATACCCCAAAGTCTTTGCCAGCCAAATACGTTCTGTAGTCTTGGATTGTAACATGTAGATCAGAATCATATACTCGACCTACAAACTTGTTTAACAAGTAACTCATGAGCTGAACTAATTTGTAAGCAGATCCAGCTTAATTACATTTCCGTGGGCATGTTCATTCCACAGTGAAGTGGATGTCATTCACTTCTTTAGCAAATTAGGACACAAAAATCGAAGAACATTATATTTAGATGGGACTGTCCACAGAAGATTTAGTCAAACTTTGGTAAGAAGACTTTTACAAATGTAGATCCATTTTCCTAGTATTCTCATATAGACAAACCTCACAGTGGAGGATCAACTTAAAGTTTTGGGATTTTTTTTTTTTTTTGACATACTAGTGACTAGAAAAACTCTGGTGGCTCTTTTAGACACGTATTAATAGCGGAGCTGTTGAGCCAGACAACCTGGAAGGATTTTTCATTTCTTTTTCATCTACCTAAGCCATTGCATGTAACTTCTTTTAATACTGAGTTCTCTCTGCAGACAGTTCATCACCTCCCATTAAAGGCAATTCCAGCATCTCCAACTCTGCAGAAGAAAAGCACCCCAAATATTCCAAATCCTTTCTGTGCTTTACAGATACCCTTCAAGCAAAGCTGTATTCTCTCCTTCATACAAACATCAATTTCCTCGTGATTCTTAACAAGAATGGAAGTTCATATTGTCTCCCTTTACCACAAGTTTTGTCATTTCAGGAGTTAAGAGGATCTCGGGCTCTTATTTCTGCTGTCCAGTGAACTCACCTCTTTTACTTCAAACACGCTCAGCACCAGCCAGTCTCTTTGAGAGATGTTTCCCAGCCTTCCGATGAGTGCTTAGTTGTCTGCCATGCCCCTTATCATGAAGAGCCCAAACACCTTTCCTGTTTTTTTTTGTTTTTCACTTTTCCAGTATCAGGATTTGCAGAGAGGCCTGTCCTCTCCCCATCACTGATTGTAATGAGGAGGAGTTTCCACTTGCCACCTCCAGCATGCCTTTTGCAAGGTTTCATGGAGCCCCTGCCACCACCATGCCCAGAATATCTAATGTCTGCTCTCCAGGCTGGTCATAAAGGGTCCACCTCATTCTGTGAAACAGGAATGCACAGCAATGGACAATAGCTGTGCTAGACATGTGCAATGGATTGCACTTCTGTAAACAGAAAAGGATAGCTACTTAATAAAGATAATAAATTTTAATAGGCAGTAATTTTTTTTTCTTGACACAACATGGTAGTTTATGAACAGATTTTGAACAAAACCACAAACATATTTCACAATATTTCTCTGCTTTTCTCTACTGTCCTTTCACTATGATACAATACACTACAAAATACCTTAGGTTTTTAAACAACATGAAAATCCACAATGGCTTTTTTTGAAGGAAACCTCATCAGTCAGGAACCAGAATAGTTGCAGATGCCAACTAGCATATTTTAGATGGCCTGACCTTTCCAAAGTAGGCATCCAAGACTTCTCTGCTCCTGAGGAACACAAGCGATCCAGGAATACCTGAATGAACCATGTAAGTTCAGCTGCAGCATGGACACTTGTTAGTTTCCCATCTTTTATTGAGCTTCACCAAAAGTCTCTCATGGTGCCACCAAGAAAGAAGATTATCAGACCCACCAAAGCTTAAGTAAGAGCAACAGCCAAGCACAGGGAAAGAAACACTTTTCAGATTTGTCTATAGACATGAAGTAAAAAATCTGCTCAATCTCTCACTATCATGCTAGGCAAGTTTTAATATTTCAGAGAAGTAAATAGGAGAGAAAAGTTTCTCAAAAGCATTGTATCAATAGGTATCAAAACTTAGATGATTGTCCCAGATCTTGGCCCTGCACTTAGACCACCAGTTGTCTTCTTTCCATTTCCCAATTTAAAAAAGGTAATTCTTGGAATGCTACAGTCAGTGGATTGAGACTGAGCAGATGCTCACAGTAATACAACTTTCAAACATTTATAGCTCTAGAAAGGTAGGGTACATGCAGGCAGAAGCACTACTTGATATTTTGGAACTGCCAGGCTATATGGGAGTCATATCTGCAGCACACATAATCCAATTAGCCAAGGAACAAGTGAAAACCAGCTATTGCCTGCTGCATTGCAAGGATTATGTTCAGTAATTTACAGAATTTCACAGAGCCTCAGTGCAAGGTATATTCCTCCCTTCACAGAAAAGAAGCACACACTTCAGCATCTCAGCCAGGCATCCCACCCTGTAAACACTTATGACAAGCAAAGCATGTGCTACAGTGAGGAGTCTCATGTAAATCACTGAATTAATTTTCATAGTGGCTGTTTGCCCAGTCCTGTTTCAAGGGTCTGGTCTTGTTTGTATTCTGCTACATACAACTAAAATATCCCTAGGTATCATAAGTTCAACAAAGTATGCTGACATATTCCTTCCTGTGTGTGCAGAAAACATTTTTAGTAGCTACTATGCAAACATCACCAAATTTTTACATCATCTTCATTCATCTTGTTTTTACATTCTCTTCAACCTTGTTTCCCTGCTTTTACTATACGTGAAAATAATAAATATACGTGGTATACCAGTTATTAAGCCATCAAAAAAATTACATGTCATTCCAGAAGGGAAAGGAGATGCTTGAGATTTAGAAGTCAAAACCTGGTCATTAACACAAGTGTTCTGATGGTAAAAAGCTTCAGCTTCTCCACATTTCCCATTGAAACACAACTTTGGTGAGATGTTCCTCCATATTGTGATAAAACAGGCTGCTTCACATCTGAAATGACAAGAGCATCTCAAGATTATTATTCCAGGTAAGGTTGTTCAGGAACATAAGAGTAAGCTAAAATGGAAGACAGAATAAATCCAGTATGGGATAGACAATACGGATTAAATTTATTGTCCAGGCCCTTGTCTTGGGTCCACACAAATTGAACCATTTCTGGGTTTTAGTAATGTAGGCAAAACTGTATTCTGCTGCTCTAATTCAAGGAACAAAGGAGGTCATTTTGTCCTTACTATTGGCATCAGGAAAGCTCAGTCTCTGCCTAGGGGAAATGAGAATTGGTCAAAACCATCAAAGATGTTCTTCACATTTCTGGTCAACCAGGCATTTCTCAGTGGAATCTGGTGAGACCCATTCTAGAGGGGGTTTATTCTACAGCACTGGTGGGAGTCTGGGCTTTGCCAGAACCTCTGTCAGGTCCATCCCACGCATGCTGTGACACCCAGTTCCTCAGGACATCCTTGTCCCCTGCCTCCTGCTCCACCCTGGTGACAAGGGCCCTTCCTTCTCCCACCCTCAGCAAAGGACCACAGCTTTCCACAGCTCTCCACAAATGAGAAAAGCAGCTCTGTGAGAAGTGGATATTGTGGTGCCTGAGAAAGCTTCATATACATAGGAAAATTCAGCACCCACATCAATAACTGTATTTCAGAGTGCTCTGATGGTCTCTGCCCTCTCATACATAAAAATACCATCCAGTACTTGCTATAATTTAACCACCTAGGATTTCAAGCCATAATAAACCACCTCAATAAAACTCCTGGCTTTTGCATGAAGTGAAAAAGATTCAGATTTCTGATGAAAAAAAAAAGGATTAAAAAATTCTGGGTACCAAATTTCTTTTTTAAAATAAGTATCTGCCCTTAAAAATCTATTATTTCTCACACAAACAGAAAAAAAAAAATCACCCAGGGGTTTACATCCAGGAAATGCTGAACAGTTAAAGTCACATGCTCTTCCCTATAAAGCTGTGTGAGTTGGCAGCTTCTTCAGCCCCTCAGTTTGCCTGTGAATCTGGTCACAATGGGGTGCTCCAGCTGAGCTTTGTTTAAGCCATTTTTCCTTGAGGCTGCTGCCAGCTAAAGTAATTTCTCTTTTTGGCTTGCATTTTTAACCCTTTTTTTTAGTTACATGGCACAATACTGAGACTAAAAAGTATTAAAAGGATTAACAAACACTAATGTTACAGGATGGAAAACAAAGGCTATAAACTTACATATTTATTGCTGAGATGTGAAGAGTTGCCGAGTTTTATTCTTCCCGTGAGATGAGTGCTCTCCTAAGAAACAGAAAATACATTTGCATCAGATAAACATGGAAATGAGTCTAGCAGGAACACATCACTGACCAGTGTACAAACCATCCAGACTCCTTGTCAGATTTACTTCACAGCAAAAACTGTCCACAAAATAGATTTTTACCACTCTTCCTATTTTATAGATTATTTCCCCTGTGATTTGCTCATTAAGGCTGGGTTACTACCACAAAGTATTTTTCAAGACAATTCTCAAGGGGGTTGAAGAGGAATAAGAGTTTAATTAATTTATAGCTATGATCAGAGCACTGAATTATAAAAATAAGAAGATAGATCTATAAAATTAATTTTTGCCAGTAACACTGACATCAGCTCAATTTCTCCAAAGCAGAAGGATGAACATTTAAGAACTTGACACAGTTCTCAATATTCCTTCCCTGGAGGAGCCAGAGCCACATGGAAACAGGCAGGAGGACAGAAAAACCCAAATATCTCCTTCTGCCTCCTTGCTCACCTGCAGGAGACAATTTAATTCCTCATGCCCACATGAGAGGCAAGGAAGTGATATATTACACTCCAGAAGAAGCGAATATGTACTCAAAACTTACAAATTATCAATGGCCTAGGGTTTCAAATTGTAATACAAATTAGGATTATGAAAAAAATTCACTGATTAGGCATTTAAATAATTAGCAGTCAAATTAAACAGTTGCACTCCTGAAGAGAATGGAAAAGACTTATCAATAGTTTTCAGACAGCTTTGCTTCACAGCAAAAAAAGACTTTAATTTAGTGCAGCTTTTTGAAGATAAGTAGAAGATTTGGTATCTGCTAAAAATTGTTCAACAATAGTGACCTGGAATGGTGTTCACTTCCCAAGTGTTCAATTTTGGAAAAAAAAAATTAAAATAATTTTGAAGTGTTGCTAACATGGAGTTTCAGAAGCTCTTATAATGTCAAATTTCAGGTAGGGCAAAGAAAGCACAAGTTTCTGCTAGGAAAAAACTGGAACATCTTAACAAGACATATTTTTGGTAGGTGAATAGTTTTTGCTAGATAAAAATCTTGTACTGAAAAGTTAAAATAAATTGAACCAGTTCAAATATTGCACAGTTTTAGACCAGCAAATGAATTAGATTTTCAAGAACTCTGGTTTTTAAAAATCTTTATTTTTCCTTGTCCATGTTTCTACTTTCCTTCTTTAATATACAAAAATAGAAGATTAAATAGGGGACAGAAGAGAGAAATCAGCAAAACTGTTTAAAAAAGAAGGTGTTGGAGAAATGAATTGTGAAATATATTATGATGCAGAAAATAAAATCCAATAGCAGTAATAAATATCACACATTGTTATCAGTTCCACTCTCAGCTGGCTGTTCTGCAGACAGATTTACATGGAAGCAACCCAGGAAAATAACATGTCTAAGGGCACGCTCCAGAGTAACTCAGCTCCCTGGATAACATCCCATTTGTGCCAATAGACCTTGGATCAGAGTATGGAGTGGGGCAGCAGCACTGGCTGCAGAAGGCAGAGTGCTTGAGAGGCACCTGCCAACAGTGGTGGCCGGGCCAGAGGGGTGACTCTGCCCTTCTGCAGACCCTGGGACTGCAGCACACACACACTCACACGCCCTATCCAGATGTCCTGGTGCTAAACCCCTTATCCCTGGAACAGTGAACTGCCCCCAGGTATTGCCTGGGGCAATGTCCCCCTACAACAGTAGTGTCTGCTGAGGGATGGATGCAAGCATTGCGTTGCTTTGCTACTGCACTTCCAGGAGGGCAGGAGCCTTCAAGCCTTGGGAAACAAAAGGAAGTTATGGCTGTTCCATAGTTGCAAAAGTGCCTGAAGATAATTGCATGGTAAGGTCTGTAATGGTTAGTGCCAGCCAACAATTCAATGATGAAGAGACAATGATGATGCACTGGAGAAGGAGGGGTCACAGATGCTCTCTGTTCAAGAGATAAAAGAGTAGTGGGTAGGTTTAGATACAGGGCTGCAGTACACCTGGAGACTGCACAGAGAAGTGTCCAGATCCATTTTGGAGTTCAATGGTTCAGCAGTTTGATATTCTGCTGAATACCCAGTTGCAACTCAAAGGGCAAACCAAGAAGAACATTCAGGTTAGCTGCAAGTAAGAAGACATTTATTTGATCTCAAAACAGCCTTAACTGACACAAATAGATTCCAAGACTGGGATTCCAAGACGCAAACTTGTCCCCAAACCATCACCCACCAAAACAAATGGACTGAACCTTGTCTCCCATAAGGGAAATGGAAAACAAGTACTTGTGTTTAGTAGTTTGTTAGAACAGATGGCATTTTAATAGATTGAAGAAATCATTTCACACTGAATTTTTTTTCTGATAGAGAAAATACAGTGTGCAGTGGAGGTGCTCAACCAGTCCAGATACATTGCAAGGCCTGGAATGCTGTCACAGGATCATAGAATTGTTTGGTTTGGAAAAGACCTTTAAGATCATCAAGTCCACCTGTCAACCCAGCAACATCTCCATGTTCACCACTGAACCATGCCCTCAAGTGCCACATGCACACATTTTTTGAACACTTCCAGTAATGATGACTTTACCATTGTCCTAGACATGATGTTCCAATGCTTAAAAACCCTTTTTGTGAAGAAATATTCCCTAATATCCAGTCTAAACTCCCTTGGCACAACCTGAGGCTATCATTGAAAGAGAAAGGCTATAGTTCCACAAAATATATCAACAAGAGCAAAATATACCAACAAAAGCAACATCATCAATAAAAAACTGGGATTTTATTTATTCTGGATTATGCACTTAGAGAAGGATGACAAACAAACTCTATTGTTATGCACCAGGAGATGGAAGATATCAGGAGAAACTTGAACCATCAGCTTCTCATGATATAGGCATTCAGTATCTTGCATAAGGTACTAGTTGATCCAATCTGATGACTGCTGTGGCAATACATTTCCAAAAGGGAATGAAATCTTGAAATCGGAGGACAGAGTTGACAAACACTCCAGAAAGGAGATGTGGTCAATCAAAAATGAAATTGAAGAGAAACAGAATAATCGAAATTTCAAATGAAAAAACCAAAATCCCCTGATATGACGTGAAAACAAGGAAAGCCAATGGGATGACCTGAAGTGCAGGAATATGGCCCAAAGCTTGCTCAATTGATCCTCATTGAAATTGCAAGATTTCAATGCCTTTCCTGAAAGGAAGAATTGAAAAATCCAGAAAATTTGAAATTGAGTGACTACAACTAATTGTACTGAGATGAAATGTGGTGCAGGCAAAAGGACCAAAACTTGCCCAAATTATTCCCTTTGAAATCCCTACAATCAGGAAAGAAAGGGAAACACAGAGACAGAAGAGAAAGAGAATTGAAATTTCAAAAGAAAAAAACCAAAACCTGATGTGACATGAAAAGAAGGAAAGTCAATGGGATGACCTGAAGTGCAGGAATATGGCCTGAAGCTTGCCCAATTGATCCTCATGGAAATTGCAAGATTTCATTCCCTTTTGTGAAAAGGAAAATCAGAAAAAATCAGATACTGACATGGAAGTTTTAGGTGACATGCCAAGCCTGCCTTTACATCCTATACTCTCTTTGCAAGAGAATATAGGGTGTAAACTCTTCCACTGTTGCATCTCTTTGTTGATTTTGGTCTGAAATTGGATTGCAAAAACCAAGACATAAGCATCATTAAGTCTCTATTACTGTCATATAACAGGCAGATCTGTAGTTAAACTGTCAGGTTTATTGCTGCAGGAGGCTGCAGATACCACAGCAAACAAGATAAATTTGTGGAATTAAAAGCTACTGAAAAAGTATGAAACACCAAGGATAACTAGCCTGATTAAGGATGTCTCCTAGCCACATGCTGCTGGAAGACTATGGTGTAGGACATGTTATTGGACCCCTTTCCTGTTTGTCACACTTCATTTCACCTCATGTGATCCACCTTCTGACAAATCCTCTTTGACTGGATTTGAGGCTACAGAGATCCAGGGTTCCAGCAGGTACAGCTGGCTCAGCTGACGGTTCCTTAGTCTCAATACTAAAGGAGACAGCTTGCACAATACAGCACTGGTCTTTCATACACACAGCCTCCATGTGGCACCCTTTGAACACTTCTGCCAGAGCCCTAGTCACTGATCCACCCAAAGAAATTGGCAGTGTAGGCACTGGGTCTGATCCAATATGCCCTGCACACTTCCTCCTCTAAAACATGGTCATGTTCAAAAGGATAAAGACAAGGAAGATGTACAAGAAAAAAAGAATTGTACTCATAAATCCTCATCCTTCAACATATTTGTTTTAAGTGTATGGAAAGTAGACTTACTACCCAGCTACTGAGGGCTCTTCCAAGCGGAAAGATAACCAGAAAAGAAAGAGTAGTGCAGTGAAAATGCAGTGTTTTCTTCCTAATTAAAATTTCACTTGTGCAGTATTTGTTTTTATTTTTCACTCACAAATATACTCATTTCCAACCATTAATGTTGCATTCTGATGCCAGCATATGTGAATAAGTAATGGGTACAATAGCTGAAATTACAGATTGCAATAAGATGAATTTTGAAGCTCTGAAACAAACATTACTTTGTCTCACTGTTGTAGAAGGATATTGTATTAATCTCACTGCATTTTTCTCTCTCCTCCTGCCCCTCCACATTTGATTCAGAATCTGAATATATTATTCAGAATACACACACACTGCAGAACATCATGACATAAAAGAGAGTACAGACTGAGTACTATGAGTACAGAAAGTCTTTGACCTGGGTAAAGACCTCTGACATTACTGGGAAAGCTGAAAGAAGAAGGATGTAAAAACAGTCTTTCATATAAAAAATAGGCTGTACTGCATCTCAGATTACATTGTCTGTAAGAAGAAATTAGTTGTGCTGTTATTTCACTGTAATATCTGAGAAATTGCTTGTAAGTGGCAATCAGATTTGGAGCAAAGAATTAAAGCAAGGTTTTAATAAAATCTGATTGCAGAAGGCTATCTTTCATAAAAGTATAAA